TCGTTGCAAGCAAAACTCCTTTGTAATGTCTCGCCATCTCAAAAAGCCAAACAGGAATGAAAGAGCAGACAACGCTCGTTCCGCCGCTGCACAAGAGTGACCCTGCTTCAGTGACCTATTCAAATATTTCAACGTCATCTCAAACCTGGCCGCCTTAGACAAGAGCCGAACTGACCTGTAAGCCTTCCACGTAGCGGTAGACGAGTCCAACACCAAGGACATCAAGCCTCCAAAACTAGGTCCCATAAGTACGAAGGGCAGAGAAGACCCTCTCGATCCGCTCCCGGAGTCGACTCCCGAAAACAGTCCCACTGAAACTGAGAAAGAGAGTCAGCCACTACATTCAATTCCCCAGGGACACGTCGAGCCTGCATTCACACATTAAACCATAAGCTTAACAGCACTAGATGTCGCAAGAGAGCCACAACTGGAGGAGACGCAGACAATGGTCGATTAATCACATGGACCACACTCAAATTGTCCTTATGAAAAACCACCACCGGGTCCCACAATTCTTCCCCCCATAATGCCAGAGCCACCACTGTGGGAAAAAGTTCCAAAAATGTTTGGTTACGAATCATGTCTAACCCATGCCATTCCAAAGGCCAATCTGCCGCACACCACTTCCCCTGAAAGAAGGCCCCAAAACCTACCAATCCAGATGAGATCCAACTCTGAATTGGACACCGCTTCACGCAACAAGCATGACCACCCATTATACTTACCCAGGAAGGCACTCCAGACTTGCAGATCAGCCCGGAGCTTGGCCGTCACCTGAATAAAGTGGTGCGCCTCCCTAATACCAATCGCCGACAAGGACAATGATGACAAAAGGCGCGACCCATCTGCAAAACTCTGCAAGCAAAGGCCAGATGACCCAGCAAGACCCGCATAGTACGTAACTGAACCTTCCGTACCGACTTCACCAGATCAACCTGCCTCAACAGCACAATTAGCTTTTCGTCTGGCAAATGAAAAACCATGTCCTCCATGTCAATTTCTATGCCCAAGAAAGACAACCTAGTGGACAGCCCTTCTGTCTTCTGCTCTGCCACCGGCACGCCAAACCAAGCTGCCACTGAGTGGAACAACGACAATAACTGGGCACACGCGTCACCCTCCCGAGGACCCACAAAGAGGAAGTCATTGAGAAAATGCGTTACTGAATCGATCCCCGAAAACTGCACCACAACCCACTCCAAAAGTGAAGCAAAAGTTTCAAAATATGAACATGAAATAGAGCAGCCCATAGGAAGGCACATGTCGTACGACCCCTGGAATTGACAACCCAGAAAATGAAAACATTCCGGGTGAACCGGCAACAACCGAAACACTGATTCGATGTTGGATTTTGACAGGAGTGCCCCTACTCCTACTCTCCTAACCAGCGACAATGCCCAATCAAAAGAGGAGTAACGCACCCTGCTGAACTATCTATCCATGTCATCATTCACTGAACTCCCAGCCGGGTATGACAGTTGATGAATCATATGAAAAGAACCAGGCTCCTTTTTTGGCATTATCCCCAAGGGTGATACCAGCAAGTTAGGCAAGGGGAAAAATTGATATGGCCCAGCCATACGCCCTAACGATAACTCCTTAGCCAACTTATAACCCAAAATATCCTCCTTACCCCGAACCGACCGTAGATAAAAACAGCTCCGGTGAAGAAACAAAAGGGATCCACAGACCGACTGAAAACCCTTCCTCCAACACCATGGCATCGCAGTGTTTAGGGTAGACCTCGAGCAACATCCTTGCCAATATCACTGGCGTCCTCGCCTTCTGAACCATCCTCACGGCCCCCGACTTGTGTAATGTCTGCTTTGCCTTCTTAAAACAGCTCATAGCGGGGTGAGCTGGAAGACTGGGAGTCATAAGCAACAGCCACAGGCTGCCGTCCTGATTGCTAAAGTCCAATCCAGGACACGCCGCCACCTTTTGCCAGAACTGCTGGTCATATCGGAAACCAGCTATGACCCCCCATATATACCTTATAAGCACCCCAAATAAGGTCCAAATACCTGAACAACGCCGGTGCCCTATCTGGAAACCGACAGGTCAGGATACTCAAAAAGAAACACAAATCTGTAACCAATTCCCAAACGTACGTGGGATTTGCTTACTCTTATTCGAATCATGTGGGTCACCGTGAAGCGGCCTATCCACAGAATCCTTCTCCGGGGGAACTAGCGACAGTAAGTCTACAAACTCCCCTTTGAGGAACTTATCATGAGTCTCCACTGGGACATGCATGCCCAAAGGAAACAATTCACATCCAGGCAGGGAGGGGCGAAAGCCCCCCATGCTTGAGCCCCTTCAGCCGGTGCCTCCTCTAGTACCCTGTGCTCGTCTCTCCCTGGTATAAGCGCTGGGGGCCCTGGCAACCTATCCACTGCAGCCCTCAGCAAGCACAGCAATTCCCCTTGCGCAGCCTGATCCTGTCCTAGGGACACACTAACGTGCCCTGCCCCCCTGCTAAGCTACCCCAAGCTCTAGCGCAAGCCAACTCACCACTCATTGGAGCTGCCACGGTAGCCTGCTCGATGGGACAAGCGCCATGAACTCCCATCATGTCTTGGTCCTCTACCTCCTCCTGGGATCCTAAATCCGAATCTTCAGGCAGCCGCCTGGTCCGCTGGCTGCCGGGTCTCCTGGATGCTGGACTCCTGGCAGGCAATCCCCGACTCCATCCAGATTCTCCCTCTCGTTGCGGCTGGGTACCTGCCTCCAATGCTCTTCAGGGCTGCACTGACCTCTGTTTATGTTCTTCAGTCCTTTCCCAGCTCTCCTGGGGCTCCGATACCGGAAGTAGGTCCACTTCCAGGTTCCAAGATGGCAGGGCCTGTGACGTCCACACTCTGCGATCGGAAGAGAAGGGGGACTCCGAGAGAGCTCTTCCTGTGCTCTGCCATCTTGGGCCCAACTCCCCACGACCACTCAGCCTCCAGTGCTGACTGCCTCCCGCTCGTCCCGACCTCTGCTCCTTTGCTCAGTCGCACTGGACTTGGTAAAGGCGAGTAGGAGGCCTGGAACGTCTCGGCCTCCTACCACTGGCCAGAGATGGACTCTCCGCCACCTGCTACTCCACTACCAACAGCTCCTGGGGAAGACCGGCCATCACCTCCAACAGGGTACCTACTTAATTGGAAGCCAGGTAAGCCTGCAGCATCCTGATCAGCATATCCTTGGACACAGCAGCCATCGTGAAAGGGGAAGCCTAGGACACTAACTATCAGGTAAGACAAACAGGCACTAAGCTACTCTTAATTAATGATATATATATATATATATTTTTTTGCACAGCAGAAGGCTAAAGGGAAACTGTTCCAGCCTGTTCCTTCTGCACTGGTGAGTACCCTCCCCTCTGCACCACTTCTTATACCATCCATCTCTCTGCAACTTTGTATCTCTTTCCATTCCACCCCGTACTGCAGGGCAACAGTCATTCCTCCCCTTCCTTACAGTCCAGGGGATCCCTCTACCACATTAGGAATATACACCTGTATTGCTAATCAGTGGCGTACTAAGAGGGGGGTGTGGTCTGCCCAGGGTGCCGTCAGGTAGGGTGGGTGCCACCAGGTAGGGGGGTGCCTCCAGGGCTGGCCAGGCTTGTGACTCTGTGAGCTGTGTGGCTGCACAGGGCGCCGGGAGCCACACAGCTCACACACGCAGGGGCTGGGAATTCAGCAGTACAGAAGTACTGCACTGAGAATTGGGGGCAGAGCCAACTCAGCCATGGGGACGGAGCCAAACCGGATGCGGGGGCGGAACTACAGCCAGCCTCCATTTGCTGCCTTTCACTGCAGCACACAGGGGAAGCAGGAAGGAGTCCCTGCTTTCCCAACTCCAACACACCAGGGACTCACTGACTCCACTCCTCCACCAGTAAGTGAGAGTGTGTGTGTGTGTGTGTGTGTGTGAGACTGCTTGTGACTGTCTGCCTGTGTGTGTGTGTGTGTGTGTGTGTGTGTGAATGTCTGCCTGTGACTATCTGTGACTGTGTTTGTGAATGTCTGCCTGTGACTATCTGTGACTGTGTGTGTGAATGTCTGCCTGTGCCTGTGTGTGTAAATGTCTGCCTGTGACTGTCTACCTGTGACTGTGTCTGTGACTGTCTGCCTGTGACTCTCTGCCTGTGATTGTGTGTTTGTCTGCCTGTGACTGCGTCTATGACTGTCTCCCAGTAAATGTCTGTGACTGTGTGTGAATGTCTGCCTGTGACTGTCTACCTAGAACTGCATCTGTGACTGTCTGACTGTGACTGTCTATGTCTGTGAATGTCTGCCTGTGACAGTTTACCTGGCATTGGGTGTGACTGTCTTCTTGTGACTGTGCGTGAGACTGACTTTTGGTGACTGTCTGCCTGTGCCTGTATGTATGAATGTCTGCCTGTGATTGTCTACCTGGGACTGTGTATGACTGTCTGCCTGTGACTGTGTGTGACTGCCTGCATGTCACTGAGTGTGTGTGACTGTGTGCTGCCTGTAACTATGTTACAGTCTGCCTGTAATTGTGTATGTGTGTGTATGTGTGTGTGTGTGTGTGTGACTGTCTGTCTGTAGCTGTGTGTGTGTGACTGTCTGTCTGTAACTGTGTGTGTGACTGTCTGTCTGTAACTGTGTGTTTGACAGCGTGCAAGTGACTATGTGTTTGGTACGGTGTGCATGTGGCTGTATTTGACAGTATATGCGTATAACTGTGTACATCTGACTGTATCTGACTGTCTTCGCCCTGCAGTGAGTCGGCACATAACATCATCTAAGCATCGGCGTCATATTACAGGATGTGCAAGGGACGTGTGCATGAAGAGCACAGAGATCCAAGCAGCAACCAGTGACTACCAGGGACTGAGGATCCACTCTAGCCCTCCCAGAGCAAGGTATGGAGGCTAGGTGGACCTCTTAATTATTAAATGTGTGCATGTATGTGATGTTTGCGTGTGTATATCTAATTATGTGTGTTTGTAATTGTATGTGTGTGGGTCTGTGATTGTGTATGTCTGTGTTTATGTGTGTGGTTGTGTGTGTGTGTGTGTGTGTGTGTATATATATATATACACACACACACACACACTTAACTACAGAAACACAACCACACACATAAACACAGTTAAAGCAAAAAAAGCAAAGAATACAAAGACAGAGTGAGTAGAACAAAAATATTTCAAGGAGGATGCATCTTAACATTCCCAAAAATGAAGCAATCAAAGATAAGAAAAAATGTTTTCTTAACTGGCTATAATCTTAGAAAAGTAGAAAAACATAAGTTTAATGATTTTCTAAATGCTCTGTCTAGCACAGTCTTTAAAATGAAGAGATAAAACATTATATTTTGGCAGGGTGACATGCAGAGAAAAAATAACAACACTAGTTTCAGTGTAGCCTTGGTTATTTAGGAAGTGTCAGATGCCAAAGTCAGCATAGATGATACAGAGAAATATTATTACCTGACCTTGGGTATTGGCACCTTTACATGTCCTAGGGGGAATTTTTGCAGAGGTTCAGAGGAGGCTCTTTGGCAAATCTACTTTGAATTTTATACCCTGTCATTGCAGCTTGTAATGTTAATTAATCAAGCAACTAAAGTCAATATTACGAAACTGTATCGAACTGTAAATTGTACTCATAAAATAAAAATCTTGCTATGGATACACTATTATAGATAATGTGGAACATTAAATTGGAGCATTTCTCATATTACTTTACAGCCCTTTTCCTTGGAAATACACTGATACACTTAACAGCCATAACATTAAGACCACTGACAGGTGAAGTGAATAACATTGATTATATTGTTACAATGGCACATTTAAAGGGGTGGAGGATATATTGGGCAGCAAGTGTACGGTTTGAATTTCGTCTGCTGGAAGCAGGGTAAATAGACAAGCAGAAAGATCTGAGTGACTTTGATAAGGGACAAATAGTGATGGCTAGACAACTGGGTCAGAGTATCTTGAAAATAGCAATGCCTATGATAACCCCGACCACTGCTGAAAACACTTTCAATGGGGACATAAGCATCAGAACTGGATCACGGAGCAATGGAAAAAGGTTGCCTGATCGGATGAATCACATTTTCTTAAAATCATGTGGGTGGCCAGATGCTTGTGCATCATTTACCTGGGGAAGAGATGACAGCAGGAGGCACTGTGGGAAGAAGGCAGGCTGGCAGAGGCTTTTTTATGCTCAAGGGTCCTGGCATTCATGTGAATGTTACTTTGACACTTTTCACGCACAAAGATTACGTACAACCCTTCATGGCAATGGTGTTCCCTGATTGCACCGGCCTCTTTCAGCAGAATAATGCACCCTGCCACACTGAACAAAAACGTTAAGGAATGGTTTGAGGAACATGACAAAGAGGTCAAGTTGCTGCCATGTCATGGAGGCCCCACCTTGCAGAACTTAAAAGACCTGCTGCTAATGCCAGATACCACAAGACACATTCAGAGGTCTTGTGGAGATCATGTCTCAATAATTTAAAGCTATTTTTGCAGCACAAGGGGGATCTATATGATATTAGGCAGGTGGTTTTAATGTTGTGGCTGATCAGTGTATGTAATAATAATTCTTAATGCCATTCATTCAAAGGCATTTATAATTCTGCTGAAATGAATTTCAGTTTGCGAAGCTATATATATATATATATATATATATATATATTTATTTTTTATTATTTTTTTTTTCAATTGAATACATAGTGTTTAGTTTGTCATAAAACAGAATATGTTTTTTTTTTTTTTTTATTCTTTAATTTAGTTGTGCATAGGTGATACAGACAGGCTTGCAATGCCACAACAGCTAGATCAAGCAGTTCAATCAGCATAATAAAACAATGGTATGGCAATCAATATCACTGCACATTTTTGTTAAAGCAAGAGTAATAACAGGATGACAAACATATCTGACGATCAGTAAGGTAGGCATGTGACGAAGTTGGGTTAAACATTCTGACATGAGGGGACATCAAAGAGTTAAAGAACAAGCTTAAAGAATACATTTTCACTATGTGCGCATTCTAGGAAAGCAAAGCATGAAATGTCAAGTTACTTGCAAAATTATCCTCCCAGCAGGCCCCCCGTCATGGCAGCCATGTATACTCTTGGTGGAGGATATACAATTGGAAATCAGCAGACCCACAAATCAAAACTTATAATAGCTAACAAAGAAAAAGCTGTCTGGCATGCAAAAATGTATGATATGTCGCTTTCAGGTGCTAATAAGATAAGATACGGTGCCAAAAAACTAAGAAGAGGATGTGTGAAAGTTAGCATTCATGAGTCCCAGTGAGTCCCACCATGCACTCCCACTCAGCCTACACCTTCAAGAGGTAGAACACAGTCGTATGCCATTCAGAGGGACCTAAGGCACCACTGTATAGGTACCTGGAACACGTGGCAAAAGCTTGTCGCGCTTGGTAGTTTTGCAGACTGCGCCGTCTTCTCCAGGTCATTCCGCTGCAAATAGCAGGCTGCGGGTTGAGTATCCAGCTTCTTGTAGTGGAATCTGGCTGTCTCCACCTTAAGTTGGGAACAGGCCTGTGCGGGCAGGAGATGCTGCCTGTTTCGTGGCCATTTTTGTGCTCTCCACACCACAAAGGCTATAGTAATACACTGGGGTCGCGGTGGTCGCGGTGGTCACTGCGGTGGCACTCTGGATGAGTCACTCATTTTTCGCCAGTCAACTTGCTGTTCTCTGAGAGCCAGTTTCCTCCAGAATGCATCAAAGATTTTATCTAGTTTGGTCTCGATGTCTGGTCACTCGCGGTTGCATCTCTGTTTCCACCATGGTGAGTATCTGCACGGTAGTCCAGCTGTGCCACTGATGCAAAGGCGAGGAGAGCGGCTGCCTCTTCCCAGCTTTGTCACCTGCCGGCCGCAGCAGACCACCTCAGGCTCCCGGCAGTGGAAATGCCTGAAAGAAGGTATCAGGATGTTTGCCAAGGTGCCCCTAGCATGGGTAGCGCTCTTTGGCAGTGGCCTCCACTCATTTTCACAATAATTCCCGGGAAAATCAGTAAAATGCTTGGGAGCCTCTGCGATATGTGTCTGTTCAGGTTGCTAGTCAGGCTCCGCCCTCAGAATATGTTTTTTATTTATACAATATGTATGTATGTATATTTGTTTCAAATTCTGCTACATGTAGCTGTTGCCATTAATATAGCTCCTTTTCCTAATCTTATATGCCAGGAAAGGTGCTGGGGAGACAGAGGCAGTACAATTCTCACTCCTCAGCTTCTCTCTCAGCATATCAAGAAAAGGCAAAATTAGAGATAGCAGTCACAAATAGCACCTACTTCCCGGCAGACAAGAAAATATATGTTCCAGAACTATCGAAGATTAAAGTAAATTAATAGATTGTAAGCTTGTTTCAGCAAGACGGAAACCTCTTGTTTCTGTTATATTCTGTATGTAAAAGCACTGTGGAATATGTTGGTGCTATATAAATTCTATAAATAAATCTATCCATTACAGTGCATTGCAAAGTATTCATCCCCCTTGGCATTTTTCATGTTTTGTTACCTCACAACCTGAAATTAACATGGATTGTTTGAGGCTTTGCATCATTTAATTTACAGAACATGCCCACAACTTTGAAGATGTTTTTTTTTTTTGTGAAGCAAACAACAAATAGGACAAAATAACAGAAAAAGTCAATTTGCATAACTATTCACCCCGCTAACGTCAATACTTTCTAGAGCCACCTTTTGCGGCAATCACAGCTCCAAGTCACTTTGGATAAGTTTCTGTGAGCTTGCCACATCTTACCACTGGGATTTTTGCCCATTCCTCCTTGCAAAACTGCTCCAGCTCCTTCAAGTTGGATGGTTTGCGCTTGTGAACAGCAATCGTTAAGTCTGACCACAGCTTTTCCATTGGATTGAAGTCTGGGCTTTGACTAGGCCATTCCAACACATTTACATGTTTCCCCTTAAACCACTCAAGTGTTGCTTTCTACTGGAAGGTGAACCTCCATCCTAGCCTCAAATCACGCACAGAGTGGTACAGGTTTTGCTCAAGAATATACCTGTATTTAGCATCATCCATCTTTCCCTCAACTTGACCAGTTTCCCAGTCCCGGCTGTTGAAAAACATCCCCGCAGCATGATGTTGCCACCACCATGTTTCACTGTGGGGATGGTGTTCTTTGGGTGATGTGATGTGTTGGGTTTGTGCCAGACATAGCGTTTTCTTTGATGGCTGAAAAGTTCACTTTTAGTCTCATCAGACCAGAGCACCTTCCTCCATACATTTTGGGAGTGTCCCACATGCCTTTTCGCAAACTCAAAACGTGCCATTTTGTTTTTTGCTGAAAGTAATGGCTTTCTTCTGGCCACTCTGCCATAAAGCCTAACTCTATGGAGCGTACGGCTTATTGTCATGCTATGTACAGATACTCCAGTGTCTGCTGTGGAACTCTGCAGCTCCAGGGTTACCTTAGGTCTCTGTGCTGCCTCTCTGATTAATGCCCTCCTTGCCCGGTCCGTGAGTTTTGGTGGTTGGCCGTCTCCTGGCAGGTTTGCTGTTGTGCCATGTTCTTTCCATTTGGTTATGATATATTTGATGGTGCTCCTGGGGATCATCAAAGATTTGGATATTTTTTTATAACCTAATCCTGATGTGTACTTCTCAACAACATTGTCCCTTACTTGTTTGGAGAGTTCCTTGGTCTTCATGGCAGTGTTTGGTTAGTGGTGCCTCTTGCTTAGGTGTTGCAGCCTCTGGGGCCTTTCAAAAAAGGTGTGTATATGTAATGACAGATCATGTGACACTTAGATTGCACACAAGTGGACATCATTTCACTAATTATGTGACTTATGAAGGTAATTGGTTGCACCAGAGCTTTTTATGGGCTTCATAACAAAGGGGGTATTTACGCACATGCCAATTTTCTGTATTCTATTTCTAAAAAATAGTTTTATGTATATATTTTTCTCATTTCACTTCACCAACTTAGACTATTGTGTTCTGATCCATCACATTAAATTCAGATTAATAAAACACTGAACTTAAGGCTGTAATGTAATAGGTAAAAAGTCAAGGGGGTGAATACTTTTGCAAGGCACTGTATATACATTCACGCACTGGTTTGA